AGTTTTAGTGGGGACACCCATATTTCAGACTCTATTAGAGCCTTAAATGATTGCACAGTCTCTAAGATAGTTTTTGTCCTCAAGTCCAGCTGTTTTTCCTGAAATGCTAGATGCTGTCTAAGTGCTTATCTTCCCCTGGATCCTGAGAACTACACAAACTCCAAATAATCTAAAATACTCTTTTTATTCATTCTCTCTGTCAGATTATACAGTGCAAGACTTTTATATTCAACATCACATTTAATTTTCATGAATTCCTTTTGTTTTAGTATCCCCTGGATCCTGAGAACTACACAAACTCCAAATAATCTAAAATACTCTTTTTATTCATTCCCTCTGTCAGATTATACAGTGCAAGACTTTTATATTCAACATCACATTTAATTTTCATGAATTCCTTTTGTTTTAGTCCGTTTTGTGTTGCTATAACATAATTACCTGAGACTGGGTAATTTATAAAGAAGAGAGGTTTATTTGGCTTACGATTCTGGGACAGCAGCATCTGGCGTGGGCGTCAGGCTGCTGCTACTCATGGCGGAAAGTGGCAGGCAGCCGGCGGGTACAAGCAAATCACATGGCGAGAGGAAGTAAGAGAGAGAAGCAAGAACAAGAGAGAAGGTGCCAGGTCTTTTTAAGCAACGAGCTCTCGCGGGAACTAATAGAGCAAGAAATCACTCATTAATCCCCCCTCCCCCAGGAGAGCATTAATCCATTCATCAATCAGTTTCCAACACTGCCACATTGGAGATCAAATTTCCACATGAGTTTTGGAGGGGACAACACATCCAAACCCCATCACCTTTTTTTTTTTTTTTTTTTTTTTGGTATTTCTTCCTTTTACAGATGAAGAAATTGATGTTTAGAGATGTTGAAGATCACTTTGTTAATGAGTGGCATGACCCAAAGTAGATATTATTTCCTAAGCTGGAGCTGCTTACCATTAAGTGAACAGATTGTTCTGGGATGTTATCTATGGGAATGGTTGATACTGGGCCACTCAGCTCCTGGCTGGCTGGCCAAAATTTGCTTCCAGGCCCAGGTCTGGCTGCCTGCCCCTTTTCAAAAACAAACCACTCAGAAGTCAAATGTTGGTGAAAATGGAAGTCAGCTTTTTATTCAGGAATACTGGTGACCTGAGGAGAGCTGTTAGGCTAATCCATCTCTCCAGTAAACCTGAAGGAGAATGGCCAGACTAAAGCCGTCTGAAAGACTCAGATTTACTGAGGGGTTTTTAAAGAGAGGTTTGAGGAAGTGAAACGTGGGACTTGAAAAGTAGGAGGGAAGGGGATGTGAACTGCATGGGGCTGCATGCAAGGAGCCAGGTGCAGGGTCTCACCAAAGCTCCATCTAGTTTCTGGTCCCATCCTTATCTCAGGATATCCTCTTGGATAGTATGTGCCTACTGGCAAGTCTGCAGCTTCAGGCTGGGTGGAAAACAACTTTACGTTTATGTAAACTCATCTTGTCCCATAAACAAGGTTCAAAATATCAAATAACCATAGGAAAAGAGGGAACTCAGAGAAATGCATTCCAAGAAAAAAAACCTGTCCTTTTAAAATCATTTAGAGCCCATGTATTTTTATTTTTTATTTATTTATTTTATTTTATTAATATATATTTTTTTACGTTCTGTGATGTTGCAGAGAAGTTGGGAGGGAGGGGGAGAGGGGAAAGGGGAAGGAAATGTGATGAAAGAAGGAGGAAGGAGGAGGGGCGGGATTGAGGCCTGTGGCAATCCCCACATTCCCACAGTGGAAACCGGAGGGCTTCCAGTGTTGGCTTGGTCATTGCCAGGCTGGGTGCAGATGTGTCAAAAGCCCTTGCCTCCCCCCTCCCCAGCTTGGGAACCTGGGGCATTTCCTGGGGCAACTTGGTGGTTGTTGCTGGGGCGGTTGCACTTGTCGTGGGGATGTGGCCAAGGCCCTTGGCCCCCACCCTTGGGACTAGTTGCGGGTGTCGGGGGCATGGCTGAGGCCCCTGACCCTCCCCCCTTTCTGGTTTGGTAGCCCAGGGGACTTGCGGTGCTTCTAGGTGTTATAAGTGTTTTTTGAGACCTTTACTAGTTAATATCAAATTTTGTCTCTGGTTGTGGGTACTTTGTTTTTTCTCTCAGTTCTGTGTTGGATTATTTGCTGTTCTCACCACTCAAATTCTGTGCTGGAACTAATTTGCTGTTCTTTGCTTACTTCTAAAATGGGGGGACTTCCTGTGAGGACCAGTACTTGAGCTGTGTGGTTGAGCTAAATTGTTGCTTTGCTGCTGGTTTCCTAGGGAAGGCTTCTTGTGCAGCTTAGTTTTTAATGGTTGACTTTACAGGTACTTCCGGGTCTAGTGAAATCTGGTGCACCTGGGTTGTGTAGAAACACTGGTCTGGGCCTGAGTCTTTTCATCAAAGTGCACCCCCTGCCATTCTATTCCTGACCAGTCTACACTGAGTGGTCCTGTGCTGATTGGAGGGCAGATCAGCTGTCCTTGCTATGCGCCAGTATTCCCCCAGTGGGCCCATCTCCCCCGCCAACTGTGCTCCAAACACTTCCCATGGGACGGGCTGTGCTCTGGTCCCTTTCTATGACTCACTGGCCTCTGAGTGGCTCCTTTTTTTCCATTGTTGTGGCTCCTTAGTCCTGTGTGGGTTCATGGGAACCCTATTTGTGGTATAGATGGCCTGGGGGCTACCAAGGCCCTCTTCTCCCCTGATGCTTCCAAGCAACTTCATCCAAAAGGCATAGCTGCAGCTTTTTGCCAGCTCCTGCTCTGTGTGCTCAGCAGCTCCAGCTTGGAAATGGCTGGGATTCAAAATGGTTGGGGGCATTTTTTCTTTTTCTCATTGTGGCTTCTCCCACCTTCATGCACTCTGTAGGTCTCTCCTCCTCTTCCCCTGAGCTCTAGCAGCCACATCTTGGCTGTTGTTGCTTTTTTATACTTGTAAATTGGTTGATTTGTGGGAGATAATGATGCTGGGGACCGTCTATTTCGCCATCTTGACCAGAAGTCCCATGTGTTTTTAGTTCCCAACATGGCTTCAGTCCTGTTCACTCCAACATGGTTAGCAGCATTGAACCCCCAGGGCAGCTTTAGAAATCATCTTTGAAGTAATATGAAATCCTAGGTTATGTCAAGAGAGATTCTGATTTACTTTGGTGTGATAGGCAGCCTGGGAATCTATTACTAAAAAGATAAAGGTGCTGATGTTCTCATTTTAGCATACCTAGATTTAGGAACCAGTGGCCTAGGTCGCTGGTTTTTCGTAAGCTGTCTCATTTCCATGTGTAGTAAGAGGGAGGTTTGGGGATAGGGAGGCTAAGCATTGAATCCATGATACCTACTGTGCTTTTAGTTGTCTTCTATATTGGGGTTCCATGTGTGTTTTTAAAAGAAAAGCTTTCTGCTAGTCATTTCCATGTGTAGTAAGAGGGAGGTTTGGGGATAGGGAGGCTAAGCATTGAATCCATGAAACCTACTGTGCTTTTAGTTGTCTTCTATATTGGGGTTCCATGTGTGTTTTTAAAAGAAAAGCTTTCTGCTAGCAAATAATTTGGTAATCACTTTACTGAAGTTTTAAGATTAATGTTCAGGTGCTGTGTTAGTCAGGGTTCTCCAGAGAGGCAGAATCAATAGGATATGTTATAAATATATGAGAGGGGATTTATTAGGGAAATTATCTCATGTGATTGTGAAGAGAAGTCATGTGATAGGCTGTCTGCAAGCTGGATGCTGGGAGCCTGGCTCAGTCCAAGTCTGAAGCCTTAGAACCAGGGAAGCCAGTGGTGCCATTGATGTAAGTTCTGGATGCTCATCGCATGGCTCAGTGTAGGTTCAAAGGCCTCAGAACCAGGGAAGCTGATGGTGTACTTGTTGCAATTCATGGAACCCAAAAGCTGAAGAGTCTTGAGCTCTAATCTCCATGGACAGGAGAGAAGAATATATCCCAGCTCCAGTGGACAGAAAGATTTGCCTTTTTTCTCCATTTTTTGTTCTCTCTGGGCCCCAAGTGGATTAGATGGTTTCCATTCATGTTGAGGATGGATCTTTCCCACCCAGTCCACTTAGGCTTGCATGCTAATCTCTTCTGGAAACCCCCACATGGGTAAAAGATAGCTTTATCAGGTTTTTTTATATTCCTTAATCTAATCAAGTTGA